AGGAGGAGGAGGAGGAGGAGGAGGAGGAGGAGGAGGTGGGGGGAGGAGGAGGCGGAGGAGGGGGATGATGATGATGATGATGATGATGATGATGATGATGATGATGATGATGATGATGATGATGATGATGATGATGATGGTGGTGATGGTGGTGGTGATGGTGATGATGATGATGACGATGATGATGATGATGATGATGCTGCTGATGCTGATGCTGATGCTGATGCTGATGCTGATGATGCTGATGCCTGATGCTGATGTTGATGCTGATGCCTGATGCTGATGCTGGATGCTGATGCTGATGCTGATGCTGATGCTGATGAAATTGCTGATGCTGATTGCGGATGCTGATGCTGATGTTGATAGCTGATGATGATCTGATTCTGGATGATGATGATGATGATGATTCTGATGCTGATGCTGATTGCGATGCTGATGCTGCTGATGATGATGATGATGATGCTGATGCTGATGCCTGATGCTGATGATGATGATGATGATGGTGATGTGTCGATAATGATGAGATTCTGATGATGATGATGATGTGATGGTGATGCTGATGCTGATGCTGATGCTGGATGCTTATGCTGATGATGCTGATTAGCGATTATGGATGATGCTGATATGATGACGCTGATGATGGTGATGCTGATGATGCTGCTGATGATGATGCTGATGATGAATGAGGTGGTGATGGTGTTGGTGATTGGTGGATGGTGGGTGGTGGTGGTGGTGGTGCTGGTGGTGGTGATGGTGATGATGTGCTTGATGCTGATGCTGATTCTGAGCCGATGCTGATGCTGAGGCGATGCTGATGCTGATGCTGATGATGAGGAATGCTGCTGATGATGATGATGATGATATAATGAGGAGGAGGAGGAGGAGGAGGAGGGGAAGGACGCGGAGGCGGAGGCGGAGTGGAGGCGGAGGCGGAGCGGAGGCGAGCGGCGGAGGCGGAGGCGGAGAGGAGGAGGCGGAGAGGAGGAGGAGGAGGGAGCGGAGGCAGAGGAGGAGGAGGAGGAGGAGGAGGAGAAGCAGGAGGGGGAGGAGCCCAGGCATGCTTGTGCTGTGTGTGTGCGTCGGCTCCCCACGAGGGGGGCGACGCGCGCGCTCTCGGAAAGAAGCCTTGCAGCAATAGGCCGGGTGGCGGGCGCTGTGTGGCCTCCTCCTCTTGCTCCTCCTCGTCCTCCTCCTCCTGCTCCTCCTCGTTCTCCTCCTCCTCCTCCTCTTCCTCGTCCTCATCCTCCTGCTCCTCTTCCTCGTCCTCCTCCTCTTCCTCCTCCTCCTCCTCTTCCTCCTCCTCCTTTACGTTCTCCTCCTCCTGCTGCTCCTCCTGCTGCTGCTCCTCCTCCTCCTGCTGCTCCTCCTCCTCCTCCTCCTCCTCCTCCTCCTCCTTACAGTGGAGGCCCATGCCAAGATACACTTTTTGGTCTGCGGGGCGAGAACGAACCTCTTCTGGTAAACCATGCCAAGATATACGTAGCCGCGTCGAGACGCCTGGGCGCTGTCTCGAAGACGCCTGGGAACATCGTGCGGGCACGGGTGGGCATCAGCAACAACCAACCGCGTTGTCGCATTTTCGGAGCGTTGCCCGCGCGAGCCTGGGGTAATTTTACGAGAAAATCGTGCGTGCACGGGTAAGCATCAGCAACAACCAACCGCGTTGTCGCATGTTCGGAGCGTTGCCCGCGCGAGCCTGAGGCAATTTGCGAGAACAGATCTGTGTTCGGGAGCGCGAACCTGGTGCAATTTGCGCAGGGTTTTGTCTTCGGGAGCGCGAACCTGGCGTAATTTGCAAAGGATTCTGGCCCGCGGCGCCCTGGCTTGCGTGTAGGCACGCCGCTGAGTGTTCTAGTAGTCTTTTGTGGTGCGCGCGAGATGTTGTTCGAGCACTTCGGGCTGAAGCCGTTTTGTTTTCATATGCCGGTTTCATGTCCGACCGGCATCACTTCTTGCTCTCGGGGCATTATGTTGTTCTTAAAAGTTTCGTGATAGGCCTATAGGACTGCCGGGGCGGTCGGTCCGTCTTCAGTCATCGGAAAATTGCGACCAGTGAAGGGTGCACGACGCACGCGGTGCCAAAAACCACCGCGCTAGGCTTCACAATTGGAGCCAGCCGTGCCTGGGCACCCGGGGCACGGAGGAGGCGGGGGGAAAACGAAAAGGAGGAACCGGAGGGGAGGGGACCCCATCGGGCGGGCCCAGGACAGGGCAGACATCGGACAGCGGTGTCAAAGGCGCAGCCAATACCAAGAAAAAGGGGTCCGTGCACAGTACGGGGGGCGATGATGACGACGGCGGCAGTGGACCCTCCTCCTCGAGCTGCCACGGCGGACGGAAGGATGGAGGAAGGGCACGGGGCACTTCCTCGCCAGGGGCACCACCACACCGGGAGGCGGGTGCGCAAAGGCGGGCCCAGGACCCGGACAAGTCGCTTCAGAGCGTTCCGGAACGCTCTCAGATTGTGCCGGATTGTGCCGGAGCGCTTTGCGACGGCGGCGGCGACCGATGCATTCTCCCAAACCGCCAGATCTCAGAGGATCCCGACTTGTCCCAGTCCGATTTTGTCCCGGTTTGGGCCTGGTCATGCTTCAGTCAAGGGCAGAAAAAACGCCCCTACCCTGGTTTACGAGGCGCTGTGCGCTGAGACTCCTGTGGGCTGACTGGGTAAACCCTGCGTGATGTGCCCCGTCCTGGCGGCTCTAGGCTTTGGGGGTTCCCAGGAGGTCTACAGACCACGCACTTGCAACCCAGGGTAGGGTCGTTTTTTCATCCCTCAATTCAGGTGGGCACGCTCAGCGTCAAGCCGGAGATGAGCAAGATGAAGAGCGTGAGGCCGTTGGTGCAGGCGGATCTCCCGTCAACGGGGGTTCGGGGCAGCGAGCGCCACGGGGACGGCGGGATTCGCGCTCCCTTTCCCCGCCGTCTGCTGTCTCTGCGGCTGGCTCTCCTCTTTCCCTCCTCTTTCTCCTCCTCCTCCTCCTCCTCCTCCTCCTCCTCCTCCTCCTCCTCCTCCTCCTCCTCCTCCTCCTCCTCCCCCCTCCTCCTGGCCTCCTCCTTCTCCTCCGCCTCCTCCTCCCTCCTCCTCCTCTGGCCTCCGCCTCCGCCTCCCCCTCCTCCCCCTCCTCCCCCTCCTCCTCCTCCTCCTCCTTCTCCTTCTCCGCCTCCTCCTCCTCCTCCTCCTCCTCCTCCTCTTCCGCCTTTTCCTCTTCCTACATGCGGGACAGTTCGCAATGCCGTGGCCCGGGTTGCTTGGACGCGCCAGCGGATCACCTTTGCCGCACCGCGACGGGGAACAACAACTTTTTTTTCTGGAGCGCCGTGGACAATTACCCTCGCAGTGGCGACGCTGACATGAGGACCACTTTGGTTTCAGGAGGTGCTCTGGTTTCCGGGCCGCTCGTCACGTCTATGTCGGGAAAGATGTTCGTGGTCGAGGCTCGCCGCAGCCAGAAGAAAACCCTCGCTCCTTATTGTAATGGCCTCCGGCCAGTGCCGCCGATCCGGGGTGGTCCGGATTCGGTGATCTTCGCGGCTCTGTGTCCTCCTCCCTCATCGATTACTCCGGTCCCATTTCTTCTCCGTAGTTCTCGTTTTCCCGTGCCTCACGCTGAGCGGTCCCGGAGGGGGTCTGGGGAGGGTTCCGAAGGGAGGGTCCTGGGGGCGGTAGCGGCTAGATCTGAGGGGGTCCCTGGGACCCCAGGAAACATCTTGGGCGTGCGAATCATTAAGAAAACGCCAGATGAGGGCCCCCCCCCTTCCCCGGCAGAGCCACCCCGCCGACCCCACCCAAGCAGAATCTGAGGGGGGTTCCTGGGACCCCCGAAACATTTTGGGGATGCGCAAGTCATGAAGAAAACGCCAGATGGGGGACCGCCCCCCCCCTCTTCCCCGGCAGAGCCATCCTGGCGACCCCCCCAAGCTGAGCTGAAGCTCTTGCTTATCCCTTGCAGTCACGACGCTGAAATGAGGACCATTTTGGTTTCAAGAGGTGCTCTGGTTTCCGGGCCGCTCGTTTTTATGTCGGGAAAGGTGTTCGTGGCCGAGGCTCGCCGCAGCCAGAACAAAACCTTTCGCTCCTTATTTGGCATTCCGCATGCTAGAAAGACGGCTGTACGGCAGGTTCGCGTCGCGTCGACGCCAGCGACCCCACCGCGGGCGTTCAAGGTTGAGCGCCGCCAGCGGCCCAGGCTCGGCCAATAATCCGCGCGGTGTCAGGAACCAACGCTGGGGTCGTCACGACACGAACTTGCCGCACAGCCAAGACGCTGGAATAAGAACCGCTTTGGCTTCGGAGGTGGCGCACTGCTCCTCAGGTCCTTCAGTGGTCGTTACTTTGGCTCTCCTCGTGCACCCAGGCGCTCCTGGTGCCGACAAAAAAGGCTTGCTTTCCTTGGGTAGCGCTCCGTATAATTCAGCAGCCCGACTGCAGCCTACAGTGGGCTCGCACATCAAGAAACAAACAACTTTGCGTCAGGGTGCCCTGGCTTTCTTCGCCCCGCGCGCTGCGCGATGACTTCCCGCGGCCGCTGAAGATGCTGGTGCGTTCAGGGTGCTCTGGGTTCCGTCCCGCGTGCATCTCGCGCCTGCGGGTTGCGGGGTCGGGTCTCTTGCGAGGCTTTCTTGCGGCCGCGCCCGCAGCGTACGGGTCGCCTGGCGGGGCGCGCGAGGATGATTGCTTGGGCGTCTCGCCGTGGGCCGCGACAGACGGGAGGGGGGGTCGACGGTTGCACGGGGGGCCCCAAATCGAATAAGAACAAGTTGCACAAACGAAAACAGGGACCGACTACAGCGCTGTGGACAGCGGACACCCGCGCCAAGAAACACCCTGCTTGCCTCTGGGGTGCCCTGGGTTTCTTGGATTTCGATGGTTTTGTTATGGACAGCGTGAGTTTCCCACACTAGAAATCCACGGACGTCCCGGGGTCTCAGGGTTGGGCTTCTTGCGGAAGGTTTCTTATGGTCGAGATCCTATTGTAGCTTGGTTCGGACATTTGTGTTCCTTTTCGTTTCGTTGTCGGTTCGTGTTTCGTTGTTCGTGTTCGTTTTCAACGCCTCGTCTCGCTGTTCGTTTCGTTTGGCACAAGTTTCGTTCGAAACGTTCGTTTTCAACGTTGGGCTTTGCTTCGTTTTTCGTTTTAAGCGCCATCTCGTTTCCAACATCGTCGTGGCCGGTCCCTGCGTAAACTTGTGAGGGTCCGCGCGGACCTTCGAGAGCGGATGCTTCCGCAGCCTTCTCTCCCTCCGTTGCGAGGGCCTCTTGACGCCCAGGAGAGGCGCCTGCCCGAAGGGCGCCCCCTGCTGCACCCCGCCGTCGGCTGCCCCCCCCCCCCCCCCGGCAAGCAGCGCCCCGACCCTGGCCCACGCGCACCACGGCCCGCGCCGCAGGGGTGCACTTCTCCTCCGTGGGGCGGCGCGAGAGCGCGACGACAGCCGCGCCTCGCGCGGAAGCCGGCTGCCCTGGCAGACGCCACGCGGCGGGCACGCGAGAGAGAGAGTGTGTGTGTGTTGTTGCGGGGTGCGCGCGCGCACTCCACTCTCCTAACAGGATGGTTGGGCGGGGGGCCCCTCTCCGCGCGCCACGCGATGCCCGTGGCCCAGCCCCACCACTTCGGCTGCGTCCGAGGGGACAGCTCCCTCCTCGCGTGCGACTCCCCCACGCAGCCCCTTGTAAAAGGAGGGGGCGCCCTGGCGTAACATCCGCGGGGGGTCGCTCCGAGATTAAGGGAATCGCAGCGTCGCCCCGCGATTGAAATAACGAGCGACGCCCCGCTGGTCATGCGTCGAACGCGCGTTGCGCCATGCGCGGTGGCGCATTGTAGCGCAACTTCGGCGAAACAAGTGTTCGCGCTCGGGTCGGCGCGCGGGGCCACATCAACCACTGGCGCGCCGCGTCGGAGACTGGCTCGGCGAGGAATCTGTTCGCGCTGGAGTCGGCGCGTGGCGTCAGAAGCCTTTCCTGCCTGGATGGCGCTCGTGCGCGCGCAGGCGAAGACTCGCGCGCCGCAGGGGGGGGGCCAGTGTCGGAACGCAGTGCGTCGCGCTGGGGCGGGCGCGCGGCGCCAGTCCGGCTCCGGCGCGCGAGTGGCCACCGCTCGTGCACGCGCGTGGGGTGACTCGCCGCGCGGCGTCGGCAGCGTTCTCGGCGAACGATGCTCGCGCGGAAGTCGGCGCGCAGCGCCCGACGGGGTGGCGCCGCGCTGCGCGGCGGGCGACGTGCAAGTGCGAGCGGGCGCCACTGCGGATGCGTCGCAGCGGCGTCGCAAACGCAAGCCCCTCGCTCCTCCTCCTCGTCCTCCTCCTCCTCCTCCTCCTCCTCCTCCTCCTCCTCCTCCTCCTCCTCCCCTCCTCCCTCCTCCTCCCCCACCTCCTCCTCCCCCCTCCTCCTCCTCCTCCTCCGCCTCCTCTCCTCCTCCGCCTCCGCCTCCGCCTCCTCCTCCTCCTCCTGCTCCTCCTGCTCCTCCTCCTCCTCCTCCTCCTCCTCCTCCTCCTCCTCCTCCTGGGGCGGGGGTCTGCGTGAGAAGGCGTCGGCTGCAGCCGCGCTGTTCGCGCCGGGGCCGGCGCGCGGCGCCAGGCGGCCTCCCTGGCCAGCTCTCGCGCGTGCAGGGGGGAGCTCGCGCGAAGCGCGGTTGGCCCAACCTGGGAACGCAGTGCGTAGCGCTGGGGTTGGCGCGCGGCGCCGATCCAATGTCTTGCGCTGAGGTCGGCGCGGGGCGCCAGCCATATTCCTCGCCCGGGCGCGCGCGCGGAGACTCGACGCGGCTCGCCGTCAGCGTTCTCGGCAAGCGGCGTTCTCGAGGTGATCGGCGCGCGGCGCCGGGCAGGGCGGCGCCGCGCATGCAGTCAGCGCGCGAGCGCGCGCGGGCGCCCGCATTGATGTGGCGTCGCAAATTCGGAGGCTTCGCGACGCCACCGCCGCGCGGGAAGGCGAAGGGTACGTTGGAAGACGTCAGCTGCAGTCGCTGCGCAAACACCACGCGGGATAGGGGGGGGACGCACGAGAAGACGTCAGCAGACAGCGCCGCGCACGAGCGGGCGCGCGCGGACGCGCCCTCGCGATGCGCCAGAGCGCCGCGTGCGAGCGGGCGCGCGCGGAAGTCCCCTCGGGGCGCGCGGGAGTGCGCCGCGCGCGAGCGGGCGCGCGCAAGATGGGCCTCGGGGCGCGCCAGAATGCGCCGCGTGCGAGCGGGCACGCGCGGAAGCGCCCTCGAAGCGCGCCAGGCTGCCCCGCGTGCAATCGGGCACGCGCCAGAGCGCCATTGACTGCCGCGTGCGAGCAGGCGCGCATAGAAGCGCCTTCGGGGCGCGTCAAACTGCGCCGCGTGCAAGCGGGCACGCGCGAGAGCGCTTTCGGGGCGCGCCAAAGTGCTCCACGTTCGTGCGGGCACGCGCAGAAACACCTGCGGGGCGCGCCACACCGCGCCGCGTGTGAGCAGGGCGTGCACGGGACCTCCCGCGGGGCGTACCAGAAGGCGCCGCGCCGCGAGCCGACGCCCATGAAAACATCCTCCAGGGGCCCCGAATATTGCTTTTGAAATTTCAGTTGTTGGAACCGTGGAGCCTGGGAACGCATTCTTGAAGCACTCGCCAGGCCGACGGCCCAGAGAGGGAGACGTTCCTTCTCTGCCACGCGCGGGGGGGGGAACGCGCAGCCCGCCCTCCGCGCCAGTCGGAGGCGGGCGGGCCAGCTCTACGCCCGCCGGCGCAGCGCATCTGGCATTCCTGCGGAACGCTCCGGCCCTCAGTCGCTCGCTGCCTGACGGTGTCAGGACCAGCGCGCGCTCTGGAGAGAGACAGGTCGACGACGACGACGACGACGACGACGACGACGACGACGACGGCGGCGGCGGCGCCCTGTCAGAAGGTCTTGGGCCCTGGAGGGCCGCGGTCCCGGCCGCGAGGTGCGCCTGCATGGCCCGGGACCGAGGTGGATCGCTCCAGGGCCTTCCAGAAGCGCCTGGCCTCCCTCGTCCTCCTCCTTCCTCCTCCGCCTCCTCCTCCTCCTCCTCTTCTCCTCCTCCTCCTTCCTCCTCCTCCTCCTTCTCCGCCTCCTCTTCCTCCTCCGCCTCCGCCTCCTCCTCCTCCGCCTCCGCCTCCGCCTCCTCCTCCTCCTCCTCCTCCTCCTCCTTCTCCGCCTCCTCGAAGGCCCGCCGGAGCACTCCAGAGCGCTCTGGAAGGGCAGCGGCGTCCTCCGATCGCCGAGCGCCGCCGGGTTTCAGGGATCCCCGCTTTCTGTCCCAGTCCGATCTTGCCCAGGTCGCGGTTTCGTCTTGGGGAGAGGGCCGAGCACGAGGCCCAGGTCATGCCCAGAGGCGCCAAGGCGGCCTCGCTTCGCGCGTCGCGGCCGGGACCGCCGGGCGATTTTGTCCGGGCACCGGCGCGTGGGCCAGGCTGCGGCGCTCGAGGTCGGGTGGCGCCGGCGGGCGGCGGGCGAGCAGCGCCGAGCATCCCGCAGACCTGCTGCTGTAGGGGCGCGGGGTCCCTCGCGCTTCGCGCATCGCGGCTTGGGTCGGGGAGGCTCCGTGATCCACGGCACTCCTCTGAATAGGACAGGTCTCATACGCTAGGGGCAGATCCTTAGCGTTAGCCTTTTTGGCGGATTCAAGCTTACGCCAGCGTAGGCTGCGGAACGGGAGACAGACTTTGGCGACAAAATCCCCCATAACTCCGCAACTGCATGACGGCTGCCATGTACATCGCGCTTTTTGAATGAACTCAAAAACCAGGCGCCCGTGTCACGGGGGATGCTCCCCTCCCCCCCGCGGCCAAGTGCTAGCGAGCGGCCTTCGAGACGGGCGCCCTTCCATGGCGACGGCGCGAGGGCGCGACAGAGGTGACCGCGCACTTCGCGGGGCACGGAACGCGAAGTGAAGTGACTCGGGTTGCCGTGCTGGCAGCAGAGGACCCCCTCTGCCCTCGTTCCCCCCTATCTACCCCTCCGCGGCGGCGCGCAGGAGCCCTTCCAGACCCCACGTGGTGGGGATGGTGGGGGGAAGCCCTTCCCGAAGGAGTTGGAATGACGAATTCCCTGGACCACTGACGCCCATGAGTGATGGCGTGATTCCAGAATGCGCTCGCCGTGCTGAAGTGCAGGGGATCGTGAAGGCCTGACGGCCGGTGCCGCCGACCCTGAAAGACATGAGAGAGCGTGATCCACCGCCGCTTTACTGTGGAAAATTGCCAGCCTTTTCCTCCGGAACCCGGGGGTCGCCCCCCCCCCCCCTCCGAAAATCCCCCCCCCCCTGCTGGCCCCCCCCCCCTCCCCCCCCCCCCCCCCCCCCCCTCCCCCCCCCCCCCCCTCCCCCGGAAAACCCCCCCCCCCCCCCCCCCCCCCGAAAACCGGGGGGGTCACTACCGAACCCCCCCCCCGCCAGCAAACGACTCCCGGTCCCTACCACCGTCCACATCACATCCCACTGTTGTTCCCAGCACCACTGTCCTCACCACCACTGTCCCCACTGGTTCCACCACCGTCCCTACTGTCCCCACCAGTGCCCCCACCACTGTCGCACTGTCCCCACTGTTCCCACCACTGTTCCCACCACGGTTCCACTCTCCCCACTGTCTCCACGGACCCAAAAACTGCCCGACTATCCCCACTGTCCCCGCTGTCCCACTGACTCCTCCGCTGTCCCACTGAACTGTCCAACTGTTCCCACCACTGTCCCCACTGTCCCCACCACTGTCCCCACTGTACCTCTGTCCCATTGTCCCACCGCCGTCCTCGCCACCGCCTTCACCACTGTCCCCACCACCATTGTACCCTCCACTATCCCACTGTTTCCACCTCATTCCCACTGTCCCCACACGACTGTCCCCACCACCACCGTCCCCACCACTGTCCACTGTCCCCCCCGTTCCCACCATTGTCCCCACCACTGTCCCCACCACTACCGTCCCCACCACTGTCCCACTGTCCCACTGTCCCCACCACTGTCCCGCTGTCCCCTCACCACTGTCCCCACCAACACCGTCCCCACCACTGTCCGCACGAGGGGGGGGGGGGTTCGAACCGGCAGTGACCCCCCCCCGCTTTTCAGGATGAACTGGGGGGGGGGGGGAGGGGTTCGAACCGGTAGTGACCCCCCCCGGTTTTCCGGAGGGGGGGGGGAAGGGTTCGAACCAGTAGTGACCCCCCCCGGTTTTCCGCCAGCAGCGGTAGAACACGCTCTTTCAAAGACATCGACGACGACCAGGAAGGAGGGGGATGAGGAGGAGAAGAAGGAGGAGGAGGAGGAGAAGGAGGATGAGGAGGAGGAGGAGGCGGAGATAAGGAGGAGGAGGAGGAGGAGGAGGAGGAGGAGGAGAGGGAAAAGGAGGAGGAAAAGGACTCCCCCCTGGGACGCACCCGCCTGGGGAGGCGCTCGCCGTACTGAAGGGCCGGGGATTTAAGCGGGGGGCCGTTGCAGCACCAGTCCTTCGCGTGCTGTGCGTTCTATGTGGCCCGCCCCCCAGGCGGACATGCCGTCGGTGCTGGTGGGACACAGCAGCAGCAGCAGCAGCGCGAAACCAGCGGAGGCTAACCGGCAGATGTCGAAGTCCTCTGAATCGAGGAGCCCTCCTTCTCCTTCTCCTCCTCCTCCTCCTCCTCCTCCTCCTCCTCCTCCTCCTCTTCCTCAATCTTCCTCAATCTTCCACCTCTTCCTCATTCTTCCACCTCTTCCTCATTCTTCCACCTCTTCCTTCTCCTCCTCATCATTCTTCCTCCCCCTCCTCCAAACAAATCAAGCTTGTTGCGCTGTCGCGCGAATGCCACCGCGTTCACGCGGGCGCGCCAGGGGGAGGGTGCTCTGGTGCGGGTGGGGGCGGGGGGTCTTCAGAAGGTGGTAGATTCTGTGGAGCGTCCTCCCCGAACTTCTGGCCTTGACACCATATTATGCTTGGAAGCCCAGGGACGGCAGGGACTTGGCCCAACCAGAAATAGCGCATGCTGGTATCGACTGGTAGGAGTGGACTTAGTGCTGCTTCGTAGGAAGCAAAACGAACGAAACGAGCAGGGCCCCGACGGATGCAAGAGGCCCCCCCAGGAGGTCCCAAGAGGCTCCCCAGAGGCTTCCTTTTTGTCCTGTTCCTCCTTCTCCTTCCTCTCCTCCTCGTCCCTCTCCCTTCCAGAAGTGTGCCCCCGAGGGCCTCCACAACGGCTGAGGCGACACGCAGTCCGATAGCCTGGCGCGCGCGCGCGTGGCGGCCCCTGGGGGTCCCAGCACGACACATGCCCCGGGCAGTCCCTGGACGGTCGGTGCCACGGATGCCGGCCTTGCCGAGGGCGGTCTCCAGGGCCGCCGGGAGCGCCCCGAGGAGCACCTCGAGAGAGCCCCCGAGTGAGCTCCAAGGGCTTGGACCTCCCTGATGGGGTCCGAGTGGACGGGGTCGGAGGATCGCGTTGCATCGCCGATGCATCGACGATGCGGCTCGGTGTGAAGCTCGACTCCCTCCACGCCGACGGCGCCGATGCACCCCCGACGTTGCCGATGCCTCGCCGATACATCGGCGATGTATCGCCGAGGCGTCGGCGATGCGGCGCGATCCTCCGACCCCGTCTACTCGGACCCCATCTGGGAGACCTCTAATCAACACCCCCCCAAGAGGTTTCAAGGTGGCCTCAGAATGGACCGCGGTCGCAACTGTGGCCCAAGACGCTCTATGATGATTTGCCCGCTTAGCGAGCAATCCATTTTCGCACTTGCGCTCCCACACTCTAGAGTATGCAACGAATAGTGCAGATGCCGAGGCGTGCTGCCCATAAGCCTTTGATGCCCCACCTCGTGTGCTGTGCGGGCGTTTTCGCGCTGAGCCAGGCGATGTTTTCCCTCGTTTGCGACGTATTCGACATGATGACCGGGCTTCTTCCGGAGCTGGTGATCTTGGCGATCCTGGCTTCCTACACCGCGGGATGGTTTCCCAAGGCGGAGGCCGTGATCACGACGAAGCCGTGGGTCGTCAAGGTGGCGCCCGACGAGGAGCACGACGCCGGCCCTGGGGCCCCGATCGGGGACAGCGCGTCGCCGCCCGGGACTTGCCGTGGGGGCTCCGGGGACTCACGATGCCCAGCGGGGCACGAGGTGCAGACGGAGAGCATCGCGTTCAAGGCCCGGAAGCTCTCGGAAGTGATGCAGGCCTGCGTCAGGTTCCGACAGGTGGACAGGGCACTGGGGCTGTTCGACCAGATGCTGGAGGAGGGCGTCGGTCCCGAGGCACACTGTGTCAACAAGGTCACGATCAACAAGTTTTGTAACCTGGTTGCCAACAACCTCAGTGTCACGCGCCTTCGGAAAGACGGTTTGGCGCTATGTGATTTAGTTCAAGCACACGGGGTTGCGCCGTCTTGGGCGATCCAGAACCGCTTGATCATCGCGTGGAAAAGCAGGCCTCCGAGGAGCGTCCTGACGTATCTCCTGAAGATGAGGAGCGAAGGGTTCGCATTGAGCCGGCTTGCATATTTCTCCATCATCATTTGTAGCGAGATATCGCATCCTGAGATAGCGTTGACGTTGTGCGATGAGATGGAGACTATAGGAATCACACCTGACAAGGTGACATATAATGCAGTGTTGGGTGCTTGCTATCAGCTTGAAATGTACGACGAAGCTGGGCATCTATTCGCGCAGATGGAAGATCGCGGATTGACACCCGACATGAAGACTTTCCGCATCATGATAAACGTCAGCCTGCGATCTCAGTGCTTCGAGGACACGGTTGCCCTCTTGGAGACGATGCAGGACAAGTGCATAAAGCTTGCGGGGCACGATTATCACAAGGCAATCGAGTATTGCATCAGCTTGCAGCGCGTGGATGACGCAGTGGCACTGTTCAATAACATGGCTCAGACGAATGTGACCCCCTTCGAACGCACCATCGCCTGTTTGGGGGAAGCATGTCACATGTGTGGATCGAGTTTCTCGGCAATCTAGGTCACCACGCGGTGCAGAGGCGCCGTGGCCAACGAGAGATTCAGGTCAGCTGGGGCAAGCTGATCCAAGCCAGGATGTCGAGTTCCTCGGTCGCTGTCGCGTCCGAGCGCGTAGATAGGCGGTAGGGCAATCGCAGCCGCCTTTGCGTGACGCTCAAAACTCATGTCAACCTGATCGAACAAGTTTCTGGTATCGTCTAAGTTCACGCGAGCAGCCCCCCCTCTGCATCCGAATTTGGTACATTCTGCGATCCTGGTATCGGATGACGCTGGAGACTTGTTCGTCCTGCCCCTCTCCAGAGCTTGCGCTTGCGCGCAGTGTAGCATTGTTGGATTCGCTGTTCGTTCGCATCTGCACTTTTCACCGGCATACATTCTAAGATTATGATTCGCTGCGCGTCTTGCACAAGGGGGGCTAACGCTGGCCAAGCGGCCGTACCACTTGACCTTCGGAGGTGAGGGTAGTCATGAGGATTTTCCTTCTGGGCGTGTACGAAACGAATACTCCATCCCGTTGTTGAAGGACTAGGTGCTGTGAGCACTCCAGAGTTCACTGACCTTGCAGGAGGAGATACTGGGAGCCTCTTGGGAGTTTCTGATGGCATCTTGAGGACATCTCTGGGGCTCCTTCGGCCGTCTCGTGTCCGTCTTGGGGCATCCTGCTGCCGTGGCAAACATATTCGTAGGGGGGGTCGGCCTCCGAACTCTGCAGACACGCTGCAAGGCACTCTCAATGCTGCTGCAGACACTCCGTCGCCACAGTTGCATCACTTCGAATTGTTTGAGTGTGGCCCAGTTTCTCACCCCTGTGGGAACAGGCCTCAACCTTTAAGTTGGGCCTGTCCCTCTACAGACAAAAGTAGTTTTAAAACATAGTCTGGGGACTATTTTTGGGCATTATTTTACCATTTTGGAGTATATTCTGAATATTATTTTTCATTTTTCGTCGAAAATCCCCCTGTAGGGGGACACGCCCGACTTAACTCAACCTCCTCCTTCTGGGGCCGCGCGGTCCGGCCCGGCAGCACGTGCTGCCCACGGCGTGCACCGTCTTTGATGTGCAGGCGACAGCCCGGCCCACTCGACCTTGTCCGATTCATGTTTTTGTGTTCCTTCTCGGAAACTGGAGCATATACGTTACCAGTGGCGGGCTGGTTTGCAATCCCAGGAATTTGGGAGGGTCGGGGGCGACGTCGGGGTGGTGTGGTGTATACTTTCTTCCCCGTTTTCCCGTGGAAGCAACGAAGAATGTATACACCAGGATCCAGTATAAACCAGGATCCGCTTTCCTGTGCGAGTTCCAGTGCGGAGCCAGAAAAAGCGTCGGTGTATAGAGTTCGGTTCCTTACCTTCTGCGTCGGCAATTCCCACGCCTGATCTTACAGTCCGCAGTGGCAGCAGCCGATGGCCTCACTTGTTCCCCATCTCGCCCAGACTTCGAAGAAGAAAAGCGCTATGAACATAAACTTTTGGCGCTCCGCGCGGGTTTCTTGGATCCGCTCTGGGCCCCCCCTCGACGGCGCTTCCGGCGGAGCGCCAAAAGTTTAAAAGTTGATGTTTCTGGCGTTGTGTTCTTCTCCTATCTCCATCTCAGCCAAGCTGTGAGCAACTGAGGCCCCCGGGCTTCTTTTCCCAGGCAGTGCTTGCATCTGGGGCTCCTTGCTGCTCTTCTGAGGAACTGGGCCTGTCGCCGCCGTCGCCGCGCTTGCGGCCGGCCGTCGCCGCCGTCCGTCGCCGCTGCTGCTGGGCCCGTTGGCGTGGTCGCCTCGCTTTTGGCCCCGCCTTGCGTCGCCGCTGCTGCTGGGCTTCGTAGATTGCACCACGTGATTAGCTCACACCACATAGAGGGGCATCCTCCTCATCATGTTTCTCTTCCTCCTCCTGCTCATATTCCTCCTGCTCCCTCTCATGATACTCGTTTCCCTTCTCCCTGTCATGATATTCATCCTGCGCTCCTTCCCAAGGGGCAGCATTGAGTTACGCATTCAAAGGATGACAGCGTGGAGGAAAGGATGGAGGAGGAGGAGAGAGGATGGAGGAGGACGAAAGATGAGAGTTCACTCGCTCCTCTTCCTGGCGCGGTGCTCGAGGTTCGCCGTCGTTCGGTGGCAGTGCTGGTCCTGCCAGAGGGGCTTTCCCCGTCATTTGAAGGTTGACCCGTTCGCCCTCGAACTTGGGTCGCGCAGAGTCCGCTGCTCGTTTTATGGTGTGAGGTTTGAGTAACTTATTTGGACTCCCTGCGCATTGTTCATTGCTTATTGCTCCTCCTCCTGCTCCTCCTACCTATCCTTTTTCCCTCTCCTTTTCCTAGTCCTGCACATCATCATCATCCTCATTTTCTTCCTCTTTCTTCTACCCTTCATCGTCCGCTCTCCTCCTTTCTACTCGTCCGCCTCCTCATCCTCTTCGCCCTCCTAATCATCATCCCCCTCGTCCTCCTCCGCCTCATCCTCCTCTTCCTCCGCATCCTCATCCTCACTTTGAGAAAAACGTTACATAATGTTTGGCGCCCTCGATGCAAGGAACCGACTTGTATTATTCTTGGGTTTGTGAAACAACGAAACGCTGTTTATGTTTTGGGGAGTGTGTGAAGCAACGAAACACTGTGTACTCTTTAGTTTTGAAACAAGGCCCAATGCTCACCGCGCCCTCCCTCTCAACGCCCCTCTCTCTGCCTAGAAAAACTAAACATACACAGTGTTTGGCGCCCATCGATGCAGGGAAACGCTGCGTTCTTTTTGGTTTGTGAGACAAAGGAATACTTTTTTCCCAACCATCCTGTGGTGTTGGGTCCTCGTTTTGAAGAGACGTCGCCCCGCGTTCCTTCCTTCCCGCTGCCCCCTCCCTCCTCCCATCTTCATCATCATCGTCATCATCCCCATCATCGTCATCGTCATCATCATCTGTCGTCATCATCATTATCACCACCCATGTCGGCACACCCCTCACACGTTTCGTGACCCCATAGGGAGCTCCACCGAAGGTCCCAGTGCGTGTGCCCGCATGCGTCCCGCACACTCATTTCGGCACACCCTTCACACGTTTCGTGGCCCCATAGGGAGCTCCACCGAAGGTCCCAGTGGGTGTGCCCGCATGCGTCCCGCACACCCATTTCGGCACACCCCTCACACGTTTCGTGGCCCCATAGGGAGCTCCACCGAAGGCCCCATGGGTGTGCCGCATGCGTCCCGCACACCCATTTCGGCACACCCCTCACACGTTTCGTGGCCCCACAGGGAGCTCCACCGAAGGCCCCAGGCTGCCGTCCGCATGCGTCCCGCACACCCATTTCGGCACACCCCTCACACGTTTCGTGGCCCCATAGGGAGCTCCACCGAAGGCCCCAGTGGGTGCCGCCCGCATGCGTCCCGCACACCCATTTCGGCACACCCCTCACACGCTTCGTGGCCCCATATGGAGCTCCAGCTCCCAGTGGGGTGCCCGCATGCGTCCCGCACACCCATTTTGGCACACCATTCGTGGGCATGAAGGTGTGCCGCCGCATGCGTCCCGCACACCCATTTCGGCACACCCCTCACACGTTTCGTGGCCCCATAGGGAGCTCCACCGAAGGTCCCAGTGGGGTGTGCCGCATGCGCCCCGCACACCCATTTCGGCCACCCCTCACACGTTTCGTGGCCCCATAGGGAGCTCCACCGAAGGTCCCAGTGGGTGTGCCGCATGCGTCCCGCACACCCATTTCGGCACACCCCTCACACGTTTCGTGGCCCCATAGGGAGCTCCACCGAAGGTCCCAGTGGGTGTGCCCGCATGCGTCCCGCACACTCCATTTCGGCACATCCCTCACCACACGTTTCGTGGCCCCATAGGGGGCTCCACCGAAGGTCCCAGTGGGTGTGCCCGCATGCGTCCCGCACACACATGTCGTCCCACCCCTCACACGTTTCGTGGCCCCATAGGGAGCTCCACCGAAGGTCTCAGTGGGTGTGCCCGCATGCGTCCCGCACACCCATTCCGGCACATCCCTCACACGTTTCGTGGCCCCATAGGGAGCTCCACCGAAGGTCCCCGTGGCGCAGTCCACATGCGTCTCCTTTGCCCAGTACAGCGTTACGTGGCCCCATATGGAGCCCCACCGCAGGTCCCAGCCAGCCAGCTAGCTCTCTTTGCTCCGCGCAGCGGGCGACCCGCGCGCGTCGCTGGGACTCCTCCGGGGCGACCTGCGCGCGTCGCGGGGGCTCCGTGCTGCGTTCCGCCCAGCGCCTCGCTCGCCCGTCGTCGCTCTGCCCAGCGGCAAGAGCCTTGCCCGCTATCAGCCAGCCAGCTAGCTCTCTTCGCTCCGCGCAGTGGACGACCCGCGCGCGTCGCTGGGACCCCTCCGGGGTGACCTGCGCGCGTCGCGGGGGCTCCGCGCTGCGCTGCTCCCGCAGCCTTGGACTTTTGAGTGCGCGGGCAAAGAGGGAGTAAAGGAAGGGGAGGAAGCGGGCGCGATCCTCGCGGGGGGGCGCGCCGACATTGGCGTCGCGGCGCGCGGGCGATGCCGTCGGGGAGTCCCGGGGAAGCTCCTTGCGGCGGCCACGCCCAGCGTCACGAGTATTCAGAGGCAGTCGTTGTCAAACTATTGGCATTCATACACATTTGCACCACGCTTTGTCATATTCGCATTCATGCACGTAGACTCGCTCGCACGCAGATCATTCACAGTCAGACGCACGCGCGCAGATTCACCCGCGCTCAGTCTCCCTACGTACTCAGATCAATCGTTTTCGTTCACTTTGTGTACCACGCCACTCATGTCGGCACGCCCCTAGCACGGTTCGTTGCCTCATAGGGATCGCCACCGAAAAAATGAATCACTATTGCGGTACTCGCACCTGCATATGGTTGGGTCCCTCGTCAGGCTAATTTGGTTTCGGGCGGCAGGGAAACAGTTGGTAGTGCGGCCGCGGCGAGCATGGGGGCTTGCTAAACCAAACAACTTTACATATATACATATATATATGATATATAGGATATATACATAGATATAGAAACTATATGTGTGTGTTTGGCGCCCCCGATGCAAGGACATGTTGTGGATTGTTATCGTTTTGTTGTTTTTCTTAAATATGTGAAACTATGTTTGGTTTCCTTTCTGTTAAATTTTTTGGGGCAACGAGAAGGGT